TCCTTTGGACATTTCGAACTCTTTTCTATCAGATTTCCTGAGCTTTTGTGTCTTCCGCCACTTCCAGAGTCACAGCTGAACAATGACATCCACGACCTGAGTTCACTTCCCTCCACCTCCACTAGCACCTGCTTCTCAGGTCTCCCCCAGGGAAACCCCAGGAGGCCACTGCTGCTGCCTTCAACCTCAGAGTCAGGAAAGGCTGTCTGAGCTGCATAGACCAGGAGAGGGGCAGAAACAGCACCCCAGGTTTACCTGCTTTACTTCCAACTTGGTGACTGACCCGGGAAGCCACTGTCCTTCTCTGGCCTCAGTTTCCTCATCCGTACCATTGTTGGATGCCATGCTCTCCATCCAGCACTGAATTTCTGCAGGTAAGCTGTTGTTCAGCCTGCAGGTTTAACCACAAAGATACTTGACATCCAAGAAGGAAAAGCTCCATCAAGAAGGCAGGGTCTTTGAGAGGGCCTCTGATGAAATATCTTTGGCGCCACCTGCTGTCGTATGCTTTGTACATCTCCTTTCAGGAGGCAGAGTTCAGTTCAGTTCTGTTGCTCAGTCGTGTCCCACTCTTTGTGACCCTATGAACTGCAGCACGCCAGGCCTCCCTGTCCATCACCAACTCTCAGAGTTTACTTCAAAATCATGTCAATTGTGTCGGTGATGCCATCCAACCATCTCATCCTCTGTCGTCCCCTTCACCTGCCTTCGATCTTTCCCAGCATCAGGGTCTTTTCCAATGAGTCAGTTCTTCCCATCAGGTGGCCTAAGCATTGGAGTTTCAGCTTCAGCATCAGTCCTTCCAATGAATATTCAGGACTGATTTCCTTTAAGATTGACTGGTTGGATCTCCTTGCTGTCCAAGGGACTCTCAAGAGTCTTCTCCAGCACCACAGTTCAAAAGCATCAATTCTTTGGCACTCAGCTTTCTTTATAGTCCAACTCTCACATCCATACATGACTACTGGAAAAATCATAGCTTTGACTAGATGGATCTTTGTTGGCAAAGTAATGTCTCTGCTTTTTAATATGCTGTCTAGGTTGGTCATAGCTTTTCTTCCAAGGAGCAAGTGTCTTTTAATTTCATGGCTGCAGTCACCATCTGCAGTGATTTTGGAGCCCAAAAAAGATAAAGTCTCTCACTGTTTCCATTGTTTCCCCATCTATTTGCCATGAAGTGATGGGACCAGATGCCATGATCTTTGTTTTCTGAATGTTGAGTTTTAAGCCAACATTTTCACTCTCCTCTTTCACTTTCTTCAAGAGGCTCTTTAGTTCTTCTTCGCTTTCTGCCCTAAGGGTGGTGTCATCTGCATATCTGAGGTTACTGATATTTCTCCTGGCAATCTTGATACCAGCTTGTGCTTCATCCAGCCCAGAATTTCACATGATGTACTCTGGATGTAAGTTAAATAAGCAGGGTGACAATATACAGCCTTGACCTACTCCTTTCCCTATTTGGAACCAGTCTGTTGTCCCATGTCTGGTTCTAACTGTTGCTTCTTGACCTGCATACAGATTTCTCAGGAGTCAGGTAAAGTAATCTGGTAGTCCCATCTCTTTCAGAATTTTCCACAGTTTATTGTAATCCACACAGTCAAAGGCTTTAGCATAGTCAATAAAGCAGAAGTAGATGTTTTTCTGGACCTCTCTTGCTTTTTCGATGTTCCAGCAGATGTTGGCAATTTGATCTCTGGTTCCTCTGTCTTTTCTAAATTCAGCTTGAAAATCTGAAAGTTCACAGTTCACATACTGTTGAAGTCTGGCTTGGAGAATTTTGAGCATTACTTTGCTAGCATGTGAGATGAGTGCAATTGTGGGGTAGTTTGAACATTCTTTGGCATTGCCTTTCTTTGGGATTCTTTCATTGCCTTTCTTTAGGAGGCAGAAGGTTGTCCTGAAATAGAATTAGATGAGCAGAAAACTTGCTCCCTGTCCAGTGGAAAACTGGACACAGAAAATGAAAAATACACTCCTATTCCCACCCTGCAACCATTAGTATTTTACAGCACCATCCAGATTCTGTGTGTATACTTTGATACAATTAGAATCATGGTTATGTAGACCATTTTAATGTTCTCGTTCTTCCAATTAGTTACATGTTTTGCATGTATGAGGCCCTGGATTCAATCCCTGGCATTTCCACAGCGAGTGGATGTGTTTATTTAGAGTCCCTGGAGTAGGAAATGGCAACACACTCCAGTATTCTCGCCTGGACAATCCCATGGACAGAGGAGCCTGGCACGCTACATAGGATCGTAAAGAGCTGGACATGACTGAGCACGCATGCACATTCTTCCGACTAATTCAGTGAAGTATAGTTTAGGGGTTAAGAGCACCAGCCTGAAAGCCTGATTCCCTGAGTTCACTCTGTTATGTGATCTTGGACAACTCAGGAAACTGCTCCATACCTCACTTTCCCAATCTGTAAAATGGGGATGATTAGGATACAATTAAATGTCTTTGCATTAAGACTTATAAAGCACTCTGAACAACATGTGCTGTCAGTTACTAACTTCATAGTGTTTTCCATGTTGCTATCATAAGGAACTTTTTTAACAGCTGCAGTATCCTACTAAGTGTCTACATTAGTTAATTTACCTAAACATCACTCTTTTGTTGGATGTTTGTTATTTCTAGTCATTCTGTGTTATAAGGGACAGTGTCATTTATACCCTACAACATACCTTTTGGATTTTCTTCATACATAGATTCCCAAAAGTAGAAGCATGAGGTCAAAGGGCAAAAACATTTTATGCCCTGGTTTATATTGGGAAATAGTTTTCCAAAAAGGATTGTAGCTCTTTAGAATGGAATGTGGGCTGGGACTTTACTCTTTTCCCTCTTCCCTCACCAGCCAGAGATAACATCGATTTCTTTTTGATTTGTATAATTTTAACCAGCCATAAACAATCCCACTTGAATTTCCTTTTCTTTAATCATCCTAGATGCTTAGCATTTCCAGCTGCAGTTATTTTATTGTGACTCTGTCAGCATCTAAATCAGTGGTTTAACAGAAAACTTGACATAAAGACTTGTGGATTATACATTAAAGAACTGAAAAGCCAAGAAGAAATACTAAGGATCTGCTACCACTCCCATAGGCTGGGGTAACATAGGGAAGATAAGGTGGGGAGCACTATGAGGTTAGTTCTAGAAGTGATGGACAAAGTGCAAACTGGATTTAACTGCTGCTTCTGGAACAAACTGCTGCTGTAAGTGAAAAAAAACCAAGGCAATGGAGTTGCCAGATCTAGCAAAAACAGAAATGCAGATGATCAGCTAAATTTGAGTTTCAAATAACAGTTTTTAGAATATTTATACTAATAATGCATTGAACACATGCTAAAAAATATTTCTTGTTTATCTAAAAATCAAATTTAACTGAATGTCTTACATTTTACCAAGCAATCTTCCAAGGCAGGAAGGATGCTGAAAAAAGTTCTTTCCCTCCTCATTTAGCTTTTCAGTCACCCCCTGGCACCCCTTATTGGCAGGACCCGCCATAAAGCCAGCTGGTAAGGCTGGAAAGTGGTTTGCAGACCAGGGAGCAACAATTACCCAGTAACTGGCACCGCCCACCCTTGTGGCTGTTCAGCACACCCATTCTGCAGGTTGATACTCCCAGCAGACAACAGAAACAATTCTAACAAAATGCCTAATAAAATGCAACTATCTTTCCAACCAGTGCAGACATTCTTACCTTCTCCCTGAAATTGGGAGAGGCAAAGTCTCTACAGTTATTTCATTTACCAGCTAGAGAATGTCACTCCTCATCTGTTTCAACAAGAATGAAGTTGCTGGCCCCTGCAGTCGCCAACCTTCAACACACCTTGAAAGGAATTCAGGGCAGCGATCAGGAATGGGGTCCTCTGTGCCCTGGGAAAAACTGGCAGAACAGGCCATCAGATAGTTAGATATTTTCAGAAGAAGATATTGTGAACCCAGTTTCTTGCATCTTGTCACATCTAGAAAAGCACTAACATCATTAGTGGAAAGAAAGTGAAGTCGCTCAGTCGTGTCTGACTCTGCAACCCCATGGACTGAAGCCCACCAGGCTCCTCCATCCATGGAATTTTCTAGGCAAGAATACTGGAGTGGGTTGCCATTTCCTTCTCCAGGGGAATTTGCTATTCCCATGACTAGGAATAGCCTTCTTGTGACTAGCAGCAGCCTTCCTGCGAAAACGTGTACTTGACTGCAGTACCCTCTTCACTAAAATCACATGTATACTGATCTCCCCCTCATCTTTTCCGAGTAGTTCCCAGAGCTATTTGAAAGGCTGTCTCCTGGGCTAAAGTCCTTATTTTTCCCCCAAATAAGCCTTAACTCTCAACTCTGACAATGTGCACTTTTTTTTCAGCGCACATATTTATATCTGGAAGATAGTCACACTACCCAAATCTGGGCAAGATTAACTCCTCTTCCAACTCAGTCACATTCGAAAGCTCTGTTATCTAAAGGCTGAGTTGTAGAACTAACCTTCAACAAAACTTATAAGAGGAAGAAAAAGGGAGAATAAATTAGCTAATATGAACCATTAAATCTCATGATAGTCAAGGAAGGAAATTTGCATGGTTACTACATTCCTCGTTTCTGTAACCAGTCATGAAGCCCTGGTTGATGTTTATTTATTTCTTCCTCAATCTCCCATTTTCTTATCCTCAGACAAGACCTTGGCTTGCCAGTGTCCCTTAGGAAGATGACCCAGACCTTCATTTCTGAAGGATCTGCGCCGTTAGCAGCTCTGCCTCTCTCTTGTTACAACAGTATTTGTTAATATCTGCTGTGGAGCTCGGGAGTGCTATGACACCCCGCTGCATGCAGAGTATTACGCTACAGAAAGTTGCTGGACAACCTGCATGCCTACAGGCTTGACTCTGTGAGGGCGAGGGAAAGCTGCTTGTTCCATCACAGGTTCTAGGTACGGAGAACTCTGCCAAGGGTCTTGGCGGTGGGGCCCGGGGACCAGACGGTCATCTCAGTCCACTCTGTTGCAGGCACAGCCTCTGTGGCCGTGGCGGGGATCCTGGCTGCTCTGCGGATCACCAAGAACAAGCTCTCCAATCACGTGTTTGTTTTTCAAGGTGCTGGTGAGGTGAGTCCCACCGGGGGCTCTCTCCAGTCGCTCCAGTAGGAGAATAAGAAGAGGGGAAGCCTTCTGGGCTCCAGAGGAGAGCAAACAGCCCAGAAGCATGGTGCTCATTGCAGCCGCCTGGGCCCCACCATTTGGGTGTCTCGAGGCAGGGACTTAACGGGGCCTTCTGGGAGGAGTGGGGGAAGAAGGGAGGATCTTGGCAAAGTGTCCGATAAATCCTGAGTAGCTCTGGTCTTTTGTCTGAACACCACCTCACAGGCAGCCATGGGCATTGCCCACCTCCTTGTCATGGCCCTAGAGAAAGAAGGTGTGCCCAAAGCAGACGCCACAAGGAAGATCTGGATGGTGGACTCCAAGGGGCTCATCGTCAAGGTACTGTCAGTCTGGAGACCCGCAGGTTTCCTGACACCTACAACTATTGGACGGGGACTGGAGGAGATCTTCCAGGGGGCACACTGCTCAGCCAGAATAGAGAGCAGAAGGACAGCAGTGTCCTGATCTCCGCAGCAAATGACTCATCCCCCAGCAGCCTTAACCACTCTTGTCCAAAGCTTTGAATGTGAGTGCAAATGTATCTGCGTCCTGCTCCCAGCCTCATCCCCCACTTCCTGTCTTGCACTCACCTCCAGCCATATTGAGCCACAGTTGCCGCAAGTCACATGCTCCCTCTCTTCCCCATCTTTGCATATCTTGTTCCTCTGCCTGGAACGAATGCCCATCTCCTTTCCCACATGCCCATGTGGGAACATGAGGGTCTCAGCCAAGAATCGTGGAGTCCCCTACAAGCAGCAACAGACCCTCTCGGGGCAGACTCCCACTGGAGGGACTCGGGCCTGGACCCCGCCTCCGGCCCCAGACACAGGTGCAGGCTACCACACTCGCCTCTTGCACACTGTTCATCATCACTTTGCTCTGTTGGGCTTGCCCCTCCTCCATGGTCTCTCAAAGCTGCCATTCTCACTCCTGTTCTCACGAGACCGATTGACCCAGCGGAGACATCCTTGACCCGCCTGTCACCCACTGCCTCCTGTGTGAAGCAATGGAAGGAATCTAACACAATGTGAAGTAAGTCAGACAGAGGAAGACAAATATCACATGATATCACTCCTGTGCAGAACCTAATTTTTTAATAAGATACAAAAAGAAAAAATGAACTTATTTATAAAACAGAAACAGATTCACAGATTTGGGAAATGAGCTTATGGTCACCAAAGGGGAAATGTGGAAGGGAGGGAAAAGTTAGGAGCTTGGGATTAACATGTAGACACTGCTAGGTGTAAAACAGATAACCAACAAGGACCTGCTGTATAGCGCAGGGAACGCCACTCAATATTCTGTAATAACCTATGTGGGAAAAGAACCTGAAAAAGAATAAATGTATGCATATGTGTAACCAAATCACTGTGCCGTATACCTGAAACTAACACAGCACCGCAAATAAACTAGACTCCAGTAAAATTTGTGAAGGAAGAAGTGGAAGGAATCTCAAGCCCACTGGGAGCAGCCAGCCATTGCAAGCCAGCTCTGGATCCCAGCTTATTCTTATCTATAGGGAGGAACCAAAATCAGATTGATTATATTCTTTGCAGCCAAAGATGGAGAAGCTCTATACAGTCAGCAAAAACAAGACCAGGAGCTGACTGAGGCTCAGCTCATGAACTCCTTATTGCCAAATTCAGACTTAAATTGAAGAAAGTGGGGAAAACCACTAGACCATTCAGGTATGACCTAAATCAAATCCCTTATGATTATACAGTGGAAGTGAGAAATAGATGTAAGGGGCTAGATCTGATAGAGAGCCTGATGAACTATGGATGGAGGTTCGTGACATTGTACAGGAGACAGGGATCAAGACCATCCCCATGGAAAAGAAATGCAAAAAGGCAAAATGGTTGTCTGAGAAGGCCTTACAAATAGCTGTGAAAAGAAGAGAAGCAAAGGAGAAAAGGAAAGATATTCCCATTTGAATGCAGAGTTCCAAAAAATAGCCAGAAGAGATAAGAAAGCCTTCCTCAGTGATCAATGCAAAGAAATAGAGGAAAACAACAGAATGGGAAAGACTCAAGATCTCTTCAAGAAAATTAGAGATACCAAGGGAACATTTCACGCAAAGATGGGTTTGATAAAGGACAGAAATGGTATGGACCTAACAGAAGCAGAAGATATCAAGAAGAGGTGGCAAGAATACACAGAAGAACTGTACAAAAAAGATCTTCATGACCCAGATAATCACAATGGTGTAATCACTCATCTAGAGCCAGACATCCTGGAATGTGAAGTCAAGTGGGCCTTAGAAAGCATCACTACGAACAAAGCTAGTGGATGTGATGGAATTCCAGTTGAGCTATTTCAAATCCTGAAAGATGATGCTGTGAAACTGCTGCACTCAATATGCCAGCAAATCTGGAAAACTCAGCAGTGGCCACAGGACTGGAAAAGGTCAGTTTTCATTCCCATCCCTAAGAAAGGCAATCCCAAAGAACGCTCAAACTACCACACAATTTCACTCATCTCACACGCTAGTAAGGTAATGCTCAAAATTCTCCAAGCCAGGCTTCAGCAATACATGAACCGAGAACTTCCAGATGTTCAAACTGGTTTTAGAAAAGGCAGAGGAACCAGAGATCAAATTGCCAGTATCCGCTGGATCATCGAAAAAGAAAGAGAGTTCCAGAAAAACATCTATTTCTGCTTTATTGACTACACCAAAGCCTTCGACTGTGTGGATCACAATAAACTGTGGAAAATTCTTAAAGAGATGGGAATACCAGACCACCTGACCTGCCTCTTGAGAAACCTGTATGCAGGTCAGGAAGCAACAGTTAGAATTGGACATGGAACAACAGACTGGTTCCAAATAGGAAAAGGAGTAGGTCAAGGCTGTATACTGTCACCCTGCTTATTTAACTTATATGCAGAGTACATCATGAGAAACGCTGGGCTGGAAGAGGCACAAGCTGGATCAAGATTGCTGGGAGAAATATCAATAACCTCAGATATGCAGATGACACCACCCTTATGGCAGAAAGTGAAGGTGAACTAAAAAGTCTCTTGATGAAAGTGAAAGAGGAGAGTGAAAAAGTTGGCTTAAAGCTTAACATTCAAAAAACTAAGATCATGGCATCTGGTCCAATCACTTCATGGGAAATAGATGGGGAGACAGTGGAAACAGTGTCAGACTTTTATTTTTTGGGGCTCCAAAATCACTGCAGATTGTGATTGCAGCCATAAAATTAAAAGACGCTTACTCCTTGGAAGGAAAGTTATGACCAACCTAGATAGTATATTAAAAAGCAGAGACATTACTTTGCCAACAAAGGTCCATCTGGTCAAGGCTATGGTTTTTCCAGTGATCATGTATGGATGTGAGAGTTGGACTGTGAAGAAAGCTAAGCACTGAAGAATTGATGCTTTTGAACTGTGGTGTTGGAGAAGACTCTTGAGAGTCCCTTGGACTGCAAGGAGATCCAACCAGTCCATCCTGAAGGAGATCAGTACTGGGTGTTCATTGGAAGGACTGATGCTGAAGCTGAAACTCCAGTACTTTGGCCACCTCATGCGAAGAGTTGATTCATTAGAAAAAGACCCTGATGCTGGGAGGGATTGGGGGCAGGAGGAGAAGGGGACGACAGAGGATGAGATGGTTGGATGGCATCACCAACTCAATGGGCATAAGTTTGAGTAAACTCCAGGAGTTGGTGATGGACAGGGAGGCCTGGAGTGCTGCAATTCATGGGGTCGCAAAGAGTCGGACACGACTGAGCAACTGAACTGAACGAAACTGAAGGAAAGAGAAAGCCATAGTCGCTCAGTCATGTCCCACTCTTTGCGACCCTATGGTCTGTACCCCTCCAGGCTCCTCTGTTCACGGGATTCTCCAGGCAAGAACACTGTAGTGGGTTGCCATGCCCTCCTCCAGGGGATCTTCCCAACCCAGGGATCGAACCAGGGTCTCCTGCGCTGCAGGCAGATTCTTTACCACCTGAGCCGCCAGGGGTGCCCTGGGGAGGTTAGTTTCAGTTTCCGTTCAGTCGCTCCATTGTGTGTCCAACTCCTTGCGACCCCATGGGGAAGTTAACAGCTCTTGTCAAATTAACCCTGACACTGGGTGACGTGGGCCCCCATCCCTCACTGGGCCTGTGTACTGTATGTCTTGGGATCCAGAGTCTTAATTAGACTCAGGCATTTCCTCCGAGCTTTTCTGTCCTGGCCTAGGAGGCCACGACCCGAGCAGCTCAAAAAACGGCTGTACTGGATTCTCCATATGTGGTTTGGATTAAAGAAACACACACACACACACAACACACGTTTCAAATCCTTAGGTTCCATCTTAGGTTCCAATCTAGAGGACGGGCCTCAACGCTTCTGACAGCTCAGCCCAAAGCCCAGGGCTCTGTGGGAAAGGTTCTGAGAGTCTCCGGACACATCCCCACCCCAGCTGGTGGTTCTCACAGCCCCAGCTGCATCGTGTTCTTCCTTTCCCTGCAGGGGAGGAGCCACCTGAACCATGAGAAGGAGACGTTTGCCCACGACCACCCCGAAGTGAACTCCCTGGAGGAGGTGGTGAGGCTGGTGAAGCCCACGGCCATCATAGGTAGGAGGAGGGGGCGGCCTGCTGGCTGCTCAGCCCAGCTAATTCTCTTGACTTGCAGGCGGAGACTGAGGCTCAACAAGGGGGCTTTAGCAACCCGTGGAGACGCAGCTTTTTCCCCTCACATCCAATTCAGGGCTACAGACTTTTACTGAGTTATTGCTGCATGTGAACCATAAAACGAGGCACCACACTGGGCTTCACGATGCAGAATTGCTGCATAGAGTGGAAAAGCGCAGGCTGGGCTCTCTGACCAAGATGAAATGAACACTCCTCTCCCAAGGAGGGGGAGTCTGGCATCACCCCTCTCCTGTGGGGAGCAGCCCACTCTAAAGGGCAGTGGCCAGGAATGCCTTCACAGGTGTAACCTCACTGGGAAGGGGCCTGGGATGGACCAGTGGTCCCTTAGGACTTAACAGGGGGTCTCAGCCTGCTCAAGCAGGAAGACCCTTTTCTCTCCTCCTCTGTTCTCCCCATGGCCGATGACATCCCCCAAGACTCCTGAGCCTTCTGCTCTGTATCTAGTTGCCCGCCAGCACCACCAGGAGAGGAATGGGGTGTTTATAAAGCGTAGGCATCCCCACCACCCCCCTTCTCCCCGTAGGTGTTGCCGCCATCGCAGGAGCCTTCACAGAGCAGATCCTGAGGGACATGGCCTCCTTCCACGAGCACCCTATCATCTTTGCCCTGAGCAACCCCACCAGCAAGGCCGAGTGCACGGCTGAGAAGTGCTACCGGGTCACCGAGGTCAGCGGGGAGTGCTTCCTGCCCGAGGCTGAGAGGACACAGTAACAATGGCTTTGAGTCACCCTATGAGTGGGGTGGGAAAAAAAAAAATGGAGGTGGCCCTCAAACCCAGGTCTGGCTCCAAAGCCCCGGCTCTTACCATTATGCCTTGGTGCTCAGGGTCCCCTTACATAGAGCTTTGACCAGAACTCGAGGCGCTGGTAGACTCTGCACACCCGGCTTGGCTCTCTGGGGAGGTGACAAGTTAGAAAGGCACACCTTCCCCTTCCAGTGGTTTTGTGGCCGCCAGGGAGCCCGGTGGGAACTCGGCTTTCCTGTCAGATGAGCAGGCCTGCTTTTGGCACCCACAGTGTCCTCAGCAGAGCGCCGAGCCCTCGGGAGAAGGTGGAGAAGGGGGTCAACATTCAGAAGACAAGACTAGGCCACCAAAACTCCCTCAACCCGTCTCCAAGCTCTGTCTCTGGTTTTCTTCCCGCCCCCAGGGCCGAGGGATCTTTGCCAGCGGAAGTCCTTTTCCAAGCGTGACTCTGGAGGATGGCAGGACCTTCTTTCCCGGGCAGGGCAACAATGCCTACGTGTTCCCCGGCGTGGCCCTGGGAGTCATTGCCGGCGGGATCCGGCACATCCCGGATGAGATCTTCCTCCTGACGGCAGAGGTATCCCCGCTCCCTGCTCCCGCGCACACCGGAGGGCCTGCACTGGTCCCTGAAGACTCCTTGTCTTGTTTCTGCTGCTCCCTGCCCCCCAAGCCCTTCAGTGGTTCCGCAAAGGGTGCCAATGTCACGCTTCTCTCAAGATCACCTTGAGGCTTGAACACCTCTGAAAACACACACAGGGTCCCTAAGGGGGGCGAAGTGGGGTAAGGGTCAGTGGGAGGGGGTGTTGGCAGCAGGCCCTGGCACTGAGGGGACATAGCTGGCCGGGCTCCCTGCCTCTCAGCAGTACCTGTGTGCCTGGCAAGAACAGAAATGCCACCGAAACCACCTCAAACGGTGGGCTCATGAACCATGACAAGCAATCGATTCTTCCGACCGTGGGTGCTGGCCACGTTACTGGTAACTGCTAGCAAAATAAGCCCCACTGGGGCAGCTTTCTGTAAGGAAGGCTGCATGCTGCGTTAGCCTGCTCTGAGTACCCATGTCTTGAGCAGAGATGTGGGTGTACACCTGCCCCACATATCTTACTAGAAAAGCTCCCAGAAGGGCTCTTTACTGGGCACGGTGAAAACAATGAAAGAATTCACTGAGGATGACAGCCCACATTCATAATAATGGTTTTTAGTAACAGTTACAGTGGCTGACACTTAGTCGCTTACTAAATACCAAGCCCTTCACATTTATCTTCACTCTGAGGAACCACAGCAATAGAAATGTTTTTGTTGGAAAGTTAAGCTAATCCGAACTATGTTGTTATCATTCAGTCGCTGAGTCGTGTCTGACTCTTGGTGACCCCATGGCTTGCAGCACACCAGGCTCCTCTGTCTTCCACTATCTCCCAGAGTTTGCTTAAACTCATGTCCATTGAGTTGATGATGCTATCTAACCACCTCATCCTCTGTCCTCCCCTTTCTCCTTTTGCCTTCAACCTTTCCTAGCATCAGAGTCTTTTCCAATGAGTCAGCTCTTCACATCAGGTGGCCAAAGTATTAGAGCTTTAGCTTCAGCATCAGCCCTTACAGTGAATATTCAGGGTTGATTTCCTTTAGGATCAACTGGTTTGATCTTCTTACACTCCAAAGGAATCTCAAAACTATAAACAAATATCAAATACATTCATCCCCAGTGAGCTCCAAAGGCTCAACTGTGATCTCTGGCCTATGTCTGTGTTCCCCCCTCACCGGGGCACCGGGGAGAGCCCCAGGCCAGCATGACAGAGAACGGCTTCCACACAGCCCTACCCAGCCCTGCTCCTATGAGCCCCACAAGAAACTAACTGCTTCATGCATCAAGTTCCTTCTTCCCATGTCTCCTGGAGGCCCATCAGCCTCGCACAGGCCTTGCGCACACTAGCTCTGGTTTTGTGCTGTGGTTCTCTGTCCCTCTTGTCTAAGTATTTTGTGTTTGTATTTCTTCTGGTTGCTCTGATTGGTGGTGGTGGTGTTTGGTGGCCATAGGCAGAACTGTCTGAAACCCCCACTGGATAGGAAGAGTCACTTCCTGCTTGGAGTTGGCCTGCAAGCAGGTTCCCTGTTGTGCAGAAACACGGTTGCCAGAGCCTTCCTCTGCAACCCCCAGAGACATCTGCCCAACCCCCACCTCATGCTGTGGGACAGTTCAGCCCCATCGTTTCTGGAATAGTGTCCATGAAGCAAGCAGGAACCCCTCCTCAATCTACTTCTCAGTCACTTGCTATGAACAGCACAAGGCCCCTGCCTCCCTGGAGCTGACAGTCTGGTCTTCAAAGTCCTGGCAGGTTACATTTCTGAAAAGGGCACTTTTAAATTAAGATAACTTCAGTTGCACCTCATTTTTCTATATAAAAAGTAATACATGTTTTAGGAGATTTACATGCACTATCTCATGTCATCTTGACAGCCTAGTAAAATACAGCAATCATCCCCTGTGTTAAAAACAGGGAAACAGAGGCACTGAGAGTTCAAGTTGCTTGCCCCAGGTCACCTGGCTTGTGAGCAATGCGCCAGGACCAGGCAGTTTGCCTGGCAGCCGCAGCAGAGCATCGGCGATGCCCAGCGTCTAAGAAGCAACCACAGCTACCGAGATCTAACTCCTCTACAGGAGCTTTCTAGCTGCAGATCTATTCCTGGGAATCCTGCTTCCCTCTGATCAATCCATCCTTGATAGCTCCACAAAGAGGATCCTTCGAAGCCAGGAACAGGCCCTCTTGTCTCCTAAACTTCAGACTTTCATATGGCTTGTTGGTGCTCCCAGGAAAGTCCGAACCCCTTCACATGGTTCATCCCAGGTCCTCCTTCCCTCCCCCTGCCTTCGGTCTGTCCATCCTTTTCACAGTCATGCTCTCTCCCCCCTCCAATAATTTTCATGTTCTGTTCCTTCTCCTCTTTTCAAGAAATTCATTGATACTTGGCCCTTCAGGTCTCAGCTTCTGTCTTCTCTTCTGAATGGCTTTTTTTATTTTTATAAAGAGTGAGCCTGCACCGGGCTCTTCTCTCTCTGAACAGGGTCTTACCCTCTCTCCTGCCCGCCTCTTCCTCAGCTGCTCCAGCTTCCTCTCTCATGTCACCAGCCTTGCCTCCCTTTTCTTTTCTTTTTTTGCCTCATCATGAGGCATATGGGATCTTAGTTCCCCGACTAGGGCTTGAACTTGCATCCCCTTGCGTCTCCCACATTGGAGAGCTTCCCAGGTGGCTCAGTGGTAAAGAATCTACCTGCCAACGCAGGAGACTCAGGTCCAATCCCTGGGTTGGGAAGATCCCCGGAGGAGGAAATGCAACCCACTGCAGTATTCTTGCCTGGAGAAGTCCATGAACAAGGAGCCTGGCAGACTGTAGTCCATGGAGTCCCAAACAAGTCAGACATGACTTAGCGACTAAACAACAAAAAACCCCCACACTGGAAGCGTGGGGTCTCAGCCACTGGACCACCAGGGGGGCCCTGGAGGACTGGGCCCCGCCCTCCTCTGTGCCTGTAAGTCCTGTCTCCTTGCGGTCACTCTAGTCGTTCATTTTCCACGGACACCAGCCTCCGGGAGGAAAAGACCGGCTTCTCCGCGGTGCTCTTCCTCGCCCAGCGCAGAGCCTGGCCAGTCACAGGGCTCTGTGAAGGCTGGGCCGAGTGAGCGGAAAGCAGAACGCCAAGCGTGAGAACGCGGCCCACGTCCCTCCAGTCTGCCAGACTCTGAGGCAAGACCACCTCCTTCCCCGGTCTGTTCCGGGACACAAGACTTCTCCCGTGGCTCTTTCCCAGATTTAAGCTTGATACAAGAAGGCGGGGTGGGGGTGGATTCAGGGCCACATCAAAGAGGCTGTTCTGCAAGGCTGGCTGAGCACCAGGCCCCCGGCAGGAGGAAGAGGCTTGCGGGGGACGGCTGCCCCTCAGAGAGCAGCCTGGAGCTGGGAGGGGAGCTGCGGGAGGCGGCGTCCCAAGGTGAAGGCTCGGAGCATTTATGCAGGGAGCAGGTACTGCCCGTTGTGGGGTCACCTGCGGGAGAAGCAGCCAGTCCCCACCTGGGCCAGGGCTGGGACGGCGAATCAAGGAGCCCTGGATACAGAGATGCAGGACAGTCATGATGGACGCCCAGGATGCTCCTTACCATGGAAGGGGCTGGAGCTCAGGAAGCGAGGGACTCAGGCCTCCCGAGGCAACAAGTTAGGCCCGCCAGGGTGGGGTGGGTCCTGGAGTCTGCTCTGTGCACACATGTGTGGTTGGCCCAGTCGTGTCCAACTCTTTGCGACCCCAGGGGCTGTAGTCCGCCAGGCTTCTCTGTCCATGGGATTCTCCAGGCAAGAATACCGGAGTGGGTTGGAATTTCCTTCTCCAGGGGATCTTCCCGACTCAGGGATCAAATCCACGTCTCTGCATCTCTTGCACTGACAGGCGGGTTCTTTACCTGCTGCTCTGCAGGTCACTAGTTTATTCATCTTGGCCCTAGTGATTTTCCTTCAGAATTCAGAGCACCTCATGTTGTTTTAAGCCTCAGCTAGTCTCAAAGGACGTAAAGGATGTGTCCTTGTTTTAAGCCTAAGCTTTAAGCTCCCCGGGGCCACGAGGTGGTGAGACAACAGAGGAAACGGCAGGGACTGGCCACCTATGAGGGGCGAGGTGAGTCTCCAGTGTACTGGGTCAGGCTTGTTCTGGAAAGGCAGAAAATCAGCTTATTCCTCTCTGTTGTCTCTCCCCAGCAAATTGCCCAGGAGGTCTCTGAGCACCATCTGTCGCAGGGGAGACTGTACCCACCCCTCAGCACCATCCGAGACGTGTCTCTGAGAATCGCCATCAAAGTAAGGGACTCCTTACCCCTTTAACATGGGTGGCGGGGTTCGTCAACTCTCTCTGACTTTAGGGGGACTGAGGGGAGGGCAGCGCTGGCCACATCCTGGCTCCCTGGCCTACACTGCATGCTCCCCAAAGGCTGCTGACAAACTCTGGCCTGTAGCTCGAGTCCCATCCCCACACCCACTCAGGGCAGTTCTGGGAAGCTCCTGCACTTCCCCTCAGACACCAGGCAGAAAGGTCATCAAAGTCCACAGTTTTGTGGACCAGAACGTGGGTGGGGTTTTTTTTAAATGAATCATAAGTGCCCATTTATACAGAAAGGTCAACTTGCATAGCATCATGGAAAGAGCTTGGGCTATGGAGTCCCAGCCCTGCCAGTCAGCAGCAGAGGCACCTCAGGACAATCACTGCACCTCCCTGAGCCTGTTTCCTTCTTTTCCAAAGAATTCCTCCCCCCGCCCAGAGTTTCGGGTCTTCCCTGGTGGCTCAGTGCTAAAGAACCTGCCTGCCAAGCAGGAGACATGGGTTAGATTCCTGGGTTAGGAAGGTTCTCTGGAGAAGGAGATGGCAACCCACTCCAGTATTCTTGCCTGGAGACTCCCATGGACAGAGGAGCCTGGCGGGCTACAGTCTGTAGGGCGCCAAGAGTTGGACATGACTGAGGAACTGAACAACTCCCAGAGTTTTGGAGAACATAAGAGAGAACACTGAAAAAGCTCCACGCTTGGCACCTTTCTGGCCAGAGTAGACACTCACGCTTCCTCTTTCTCTCAGGATGGCTGGGCCATGGCGTGATCAAGTTCATGGAACAGTCTAAGCATAAATGTCACCCAACAGATGATGCAGAGATGATGGGTATTCAGAGAACCAGAACATAGTGCCCTAAAGACTGACCTAACGTTGATAATTGTTGCATCTGGATGATAAATACATGATGGTTTATAATAACATTATTTCTATTAATATGTGTTTTACATTTTCTATAAGTTTTAAGAATAATTTCAGAAAACGCATTGCACGACAGACCGCATGCAGTCCCCAAGTGTTGTCCCATGTGGGTTCCATAATCAGACTTTTGGGCTTGTTGTCCTCAAGCCCAACTGTCCAGCTGATAGTCCAGCTCCACCCTGTCCAGTTCCTTCCTTTCGGAGATATTTAGCTTCATGCTCTTGTGAAGCCAAAGCTAATACCCAAAGAACATTGTCCAGGCTGTTCTTCCAATTCAAGCCGCATTTAGGAGAGACAAAGTATCAGGTACTCAACACTTTTGCCTGCTACCTAACTTTATCCTCACACCATGCCAGAGGAAGCCGTCATTACCCCCACTTCACAGATGCGGAAACTGGGGCTCAGCCAGGATGGCGTCACTGCCAAGGACCCACAGGCAGTCGGAAGCAGAAGCAGACTTTAGCCTGAAGCCTCTTGCCCCAGACCGTGTTTATTCCACTGTGTCAGAGCTCCCTCACGAGGCAGAAAGCTCTAGCTCCTTCCTCTCCAGTGGCTTCAGGGCCACAACCCACGAGAGGAGCATGCCTGCCACAGGGTGTATCCCCTTCCGCAAGCTCCCAAGCGAGGGTCTTCAGGCAGGCTCCTCCTTACAGCCAGTTCCTCAGTCACACATATTTTTTCCTAGGTCCTCGACTTCGCGTACAAACACAACCTGGCCTCCTACTACCCAGAGCCCGAGGACAAGGAGGCTTTTGTAAGGTCCCTGGTCTATACTCCAGACTATGACTCCTTTACACTGGACAGCTACACTTGGCCCGAGGAGGCCATGAACGTTCAGAACATCTGATGCAACCTCAAAGGCTGGGATGGGGCTGGATGAAGCCCAGGGTAACACTGACAATATAAATGGGTTCAAAAACGGCCATTCTTGTCATTGTGTTTTTCCTTTGAACTTTCTGGTGTGAGGGGAGAGGCCCAGGCATAAGATGAACAAGAGCTTTGTCCCTGAAGGAGGCCTTGGGTTCACTTTTCTGTAACCCTCCTCAGGCTTCCTTCCCAAGAATTTCGTCATCTACGAATTGCCAACTTTTGGCTAGACCTTGCAGAAATCTAGACTCTGCCTTGACAAGGTCTGGGGTCTAGAAGAGGAAATGAAATATGGGCACAAGGCATTTTGCCACCAGGGAGAAAGTGGTTAAGTCCCTGAAAGAACTGCGGATAAAGGTCGTGTGCTCAGGAAGGGAAAAGATCCTTCCTATGAGGGCATAAGAGAAGGCTTCATGGTAGTGTGGTGTCTGCAATGGGTGCCCAGACCAAAGGATGGGGCAGGGTGGTGAAATAAAGAATGCAAGGGCAACCACTGGCCAGAAAGCGTGGCCCACCCACCAGGGAGTTCAGTCTCTGCTAGACGAATACACACCCTTCAAGACTCAGAGGGCGCGAGGGCTGAGTGTCTGCCTCGGAACAACTCACAAGTCAGAAAAGGTCACTGCCCTGTGGGTTGCTGAGAGTCAGGCATGCCTTTGTGGTGATTTCCAAAAGGAAAGCCAGAGAAACGCGGGTGGGGACGGTCAGCAAACCAAGGAGGAAGAGAGGCTGTGAGGGGAAGGGCCCCGTGGGGAGTGTGAGGGAAGACTTGATTTCATGTTCCTGACTCAGGAACTTTCTCTTCCGCCCTTCACACTCTGAAGTAGTTCAGCAAACTGGAACGGCTTGCCTACAGAAGGCTGTCAGTCTGCGTGTCTCTTATACCAGGTTCAGTCGTAGCCTTCACCTCCCTTGTGTCCAGCAGAGCCCACACCATGGGGAGGGTGGGGGGCACGAGCCTGCGGCCCCCACAATGGAAGACCCTGCTAAACTGATAACATCTACTGGCATGGCAGTGTCCAGACCCCGCTTTCATTGTGCAACTCCGGAAAGAACAATCCATGCCCAGAGACCTACCACTGTCCACCCTGCTGCTGCCAGCTCAGCCTGAGGGCCTCCGCTGCCCACCATGAGCAGGTCCTACATGACCACCCCTCAGCGACGGGCCAGGGGGGCACCTGGGATCCTGGAAGAGCGATCAGCAGAGACATCACGTCACCCCCTGCCTAGGTCTTATTCTTCCAACACCTGCTTCCTGGGTGCTGGTGCTCAGCAGAGGACATACTGAGGAAACATCGCTGTTCTGTAATCTGTGGCCTCATACTGAGAACCTCTCATGGTGAGAAGAGGGGCTGAAGAGTGAAGCTGGAATCTGAACACCAGGGACCCTTTCACATGATCTTTTCTACATCCTGTCCCACACTTGCTCTGTATCCCAGCTGCACCTTCTTTATACTCAATGCGACAGAAAAGAAAAATAGTAGAGAAAATCAGTGAAACCAAAACAGGCTGACAAGATCAACTAAAATGACCAACTTTAGCTATGCTGACAGAAACAAAAAAAAGATAATTACATTTCCTGTGTTCCAAGCACAGGGATCATCTTGCTGGCCCTGAATACATGCACTTTCAGGCCTGTCCCCTTAAACACACTTGGTCTCTACCTGGAAGGTCCTTCCCTCTGCTTCTCTGCCCTTTATCAGCTACATTTCAGTTCAACCAGCTTTCTGCCTGGAGACAGCATTCATCATTGGAGTGCAAATACATTCGACTCCAGGAAGTCTTCTTGGGCAGAGTTAGTAACTAAATTAGAAATCAACAACAGTAAAAAAGAAAATGGGAAGTGTCCAACTCTTTGGAAATTAAACAGTATATTTCTAAGTAAGTCATGGTAAGAAGAAATCACAAGATAAATTATGTATGTTGAATTAAATAAAAATTAGTGAGTTATAGCTAAAAATAGTGCCAGAGGGAAATTTTAGAGCTTTAAAGGCCAATATCAGGGGGAAAAAAAAATAAAAGTCCTAAAACAATAACAAACTTTCTCCTTAAGAAACTACAACAGGAAAAGCAAACAGAATTCAAAGCAAGCAAAGATTAGAGTAGATATCAATAGACCTAAAACAAATCAAAGAATTGAATTAGTAATTCAAAAATCTTCCCACCAAGAAAAGCCCAGGCCAAGAATTCTTCATGGGTGAATTTTATCAAATATTTAAATTATAAATAATACCAATCCTTCACAAACTCTTTCAGAAAATGGAGGATGGAATACTTCCAAAATCATTCCATAATACTGATACTACCCTGATATCAAAACCAGATAAAAAGCAATACACAGAAATTGAGGACCAATATCCCTCATGAGTATAGGTGCAAAATATTAGCAGGCCAAATGTATCAATATTAAACACAACAAACAAGTGGAATTTATCTCAGGAATGCAAGGTTGTTTTAACATTTAAAAACTGATCAAGATAGTACATGATACTACTAGAATGAAGGACACAAACCATCAGATGATGTCAATGGATGTGGAAAAAGCATTTGAAAATACCCAACACCTGTTTATGATAAAACTTTCAACAAACGAATAGAAGAGAACATCCTCAACCTAACCATACTTAAAAGTCAAAGAATGAATACTTTCTCCCTAAGATCTGGAAGTTTGTTTCCACCACTTGTGGTCAACATGGAGGGTCTAGCCAATTCAATTAAAAAAGAAAAAGAAAGTAAAGGCATTCGGGGCGGGGGGGGGAGAGAGTAAAACTGCCTTTGTTTACAGATAACATATTCTTGTAAGCAGAAAATGCCAAAGAAGAGAGCAGCACTTGCTTTGCTCTCGCCCTCCCTTCCTCATGCCCTCTCTCTCTCCTAACAAATGAGTTTAGGAAGCTCATAGAAAGCAAGGTCAATGTACAAAAAGCAACTGTATTTCCACAGACTAGCAGCAAACACTAGCAATAAAATTAAGAAAACACTGCAGTCACAATACCATCAAAAAGAAAAAAATACTTAAGTAATTTAAGAGGTACAAATCTTGCACAATGAAAACTATAAAACAGTGATGGTAGAAACTAAAGATTTAAGGGAAATGGTCCATGTACATGTTTAAGATTCAATATTATCAAGCCTGCAGTTCTCTCCAAATTATCTATAAATTCAACACTAGACCTATCAAAATTCCTACAAGCTATTTTTTGTATAAATTGACAGATTGATCCTAAAATTTATATGCAAATGCAGGGGACTTAGAATAGTCAAAACTTTTGAAAAAGGATGATGTACATGATCCAGTTTCAGAACTTTCCATAAAGCTACAGTAATCAAGACTGTGTGCTCATATAGATCAATGAAACAGTTGAGAATTCAGAAATAAGTCCTTCATTTATGGTAAATTGATTTTTCAATTACCAAGGTAATTCAGTGGAGGAAAGGATGGTCTTTTGAAGAGATGATGCTGGGGACAACTAGATATCCACATGCAAATATATATATACACACATTTATTTCATACCATATACAAAAATTAACTCAAAATGGACCACAGATCTAAATGTAAGAGCTAAAATCTGTACAATTTCTAGAAGGAAATGTAGCCAAAAAGTCTTTGTGACTGATTGAAGAGATTCTTAGATACAATTTAAAAGCATGATCCATAAAAGAGAAAATTGATAAATTGTACCTCATTAAATTTTTTAACTTCTGTACTTTGAAACAAAACATTAAGGGAAAAAAATGACAGGTAACAGATTGGGAGACAGTATTTGCAAATTATATATCTGATAAAGGCATTAGAGTTAGAACATATAAGGAACTTCTACAACTCAGTAAGATGACAACACCCAACTGAAAAAAATGGGTAAAATATTTGAGTTGATATATTACAAATGGCTAACAAGTATATGAAAAGATGTTTAACATTAATTGTATTAAAACTTAAAACTACAATAGGATACCACTTCCCACTCACCAGAATGGCTATAGTAAAAAAAAAAAAGAAAGAAAGAAAGAAAAGAGAGAGAAAAACAGTCTAAGTGTTGGAGAAAATTAGAACCTCTTCTAGCAGGGCTTTGTCTCCCAAGCACTATGAAGTTGAGGGAAATTTCCCTCTATCTTTTAAAACCTTCACACTAACTCCCCAGCCTCTCATCTTTGGTCCCAGAACTCAGCAAGTGTCTTTCAGTATAGTGGCTGTAACCTGTGGGTGCTGTGGCGGTACCAACCAGATCCCTCGAATGGTCTGAAACACGCATTATTGGCCAGCTGCCAACAGTATTATCACAGTGCTGCCTGGGAACTGCACTTGACTGAAAGATGATGCTTCATTCAAGCTTACGCCCTCATCCCCAAGGACAGCCTGCATCTAATGACGAATCCAAAGGTCCAAGCCCCTTGCCACAAGTGCGGACATCCCTAAATGGCCATCTCAGCTTCACAGCTCCCTGGGAGATTGGCTAATGCTACTGTTGCATCTGTATGTATCACCATTCGGCTTCTGCAGCATCCTGGTTCTCTTGCTCCGTCACAGTGTTGTTGAGATAATGCTCCAGTAAGCCTCCAAGTGCAAACCTCTACCTGTTTCCTGAGAAACTTGACCTGCAACGTGAAACTGGCCAAACCTCTCAATTTTCCAGTCTGTTGCACCAGCCCCGATGTGGCCACCAGAAGCCTCGCTGGGTTTCTTTTTCCTTCAGTAGAGACCCTGCTGCAGGAATCAAGCCTGATCCTTAGTCCACGTCCCAGCAAACATGTCCTAGTAAATGTCCCCAGCAAACAAAACGGCCACTCACCTCAGGAGAACTCCTTCCTGTTTGGAATTTCTGTTTACCTAGTCCATGTTGCTCTCACAGCTCTCATACATCTTTAAACATGATTCTTGAAACTTATCTATATTTTTATGGATGTTGCAGAGAGGGTGTTGGGCTGCCATGACCTACTACATCCTGTCTAGAAGTGAAAGTTTCTAGACACAGATTT